AGATGAGTGGAATGGCAGCTTTGGCCGCAGCTGCTGCAGCCACACAGAAAATCCCTCCTTCCCCGGGAGCCACTGTTCTCAATGTGCCGGCTGGGGCCACAATTGTTAAAACGGTGGCTATGACACCTGGGTACACCACTCTCCCCAACACAGTTAAAGTGGCATCACCTGTGATGGTAATTATCTTAAGATTGTCACTGTGTGTAGTTCTTCATATTGCCTCTTGCCCCTTGGGCTTTATTTTTCATGTTGGGCCTATTTTGGTAACACTTGAATTAAAAAACAAAAGACTCCAAAACAGCAAAACTTAGATGGTTCCAGCTCTAAACTATGATTGGAGGAGCTGAATTCAAAACTTGCATTAGCCAGCATACACATGACTGTAAACGTATGTCAGCTGAATTACATATTTATGTGGAAAGCTATTTTGCAGTCTTGGCCAGCACTGGTTTAATGACTCACAATTATTTTGTCGTAGGTAAGCAACCCTGCCACTCGCATGCTGAAGACTGCGGCTGCACAGGTGGCCACTCCGACAGTGTCCAGTCCCACCACAGCTGCTCGGCCCATCATCACCGTGCACAAGTCTGGCACAGTTACCGTAGCCCAGCAGGCTCAGGTTGTGACCACGATGGTGGGCGGAGTCACCAAGACCATCACTCTTGTTAAGAGCCCACTTTCCATGGGAGGAAACCTGGTACAGTATTGTAAATTCTGGCATAGGAGAAATTAGAAAGGCATAGAATTGGCATAGATTTATTTATCTTTATTTATTTATTTATTTATTTTAAGATTTCCAACTTGGGCAAGATGATGTCAGTGGTACAGACCAAACCAATGCAGACAACTTCTGTGACTGGACAGGCCTCCTCCAACCCATTGACTCAAATTATACAGGTACATTAAACCTACAATATATAGTTAAATCTCTCAGACGCTCACACAAATTACAATTTGAAATAATCTTAACTTCAATGTCATTCTTATTCCATAGACAAAGGGTCCCCTCCCACCCGGCACCATTCTGAAACTGGTAACGTCTGCGGATGGAAAGCCAACCACCATAATTACCACCAGTCAAGCAAGTGGCACAGGAAACAAACCCACTATCTTGGGTATCAGTGGCATGTCCCCTACCACCACCACCAAACCAGGCACCACCACTATTATCAAAACAATCCCCATGTCTGCTCTACAGCAGGGAGCTGCAGGTAAAGAAATAAGCAATTTTGTCAAGAAGAGTCTTATTATTGTTAATATTGTTATTATTAACAATTATAATAATGATAATATTCATGTGTATATTTGTTATATTTGTGTATCATTAAATAACACATATTTATTATTTAAGTTATAGTTATGTGTTTATTATTATTATTATTATTATCAACGACTCTAAAAATAATAATGTGTGTGCAAAATAATATTATTTCAGGTGGCTTTGTTTGGGCTTAATGAGTGTCTGTTTTCTGTTGTAGGCGTAACTAGTAGTACAGGGGTGAAGAGCCCAATTACCTTCATCACCTCAAAGGTGATGACATCTGGAACAGGAACTCCTGGCAAAATCATTACAGCAGCTGGCCAGCAAGGCCTAACACAGGTATTTGGGTTCAGAATATATGGTGTGAAATGAAAAACATGATGCTGTTGAAGCGTTTTCTTACATGGGTTGTGTTTTTCCTATCTGAAGGTTGTTCTGAAGGGAGCTCCTGGTCAGCCTGGAACCATCCTTCGCACTTTGCCGATGGGAGGAGTGCGTCTCGTGTCTCCAGTATCTGGGGTCAAGCCAACTGTAACCACGCTGGTTGTCAAGGGAACAACTGGTGAGGATATGAACCTAGTAAAGTCAATAGTAATTGTTCATTGTTAAAAGACTGCATGGGTCTCTATGCCAAGTTTAATTCAGCAACCTCTATTATGAATGATTGAAGTATTTCCCTCTCGCTGTGTCTGTTCTCTTTCCAAGGTGTAACAACACTTGGCACAGTCACAGGAACCGTTTCTACCAGCTTAGCTGGAGGAAGCTTAGCCAGTGCCAACGCCACCCTGGCAACTCCCATCACCACTCTCGGCACAATTGCCACCCTCTCAAGCCAGGTCATTAATGCTACCGCTGTGTCAGCTGCCCAAAGCAACCTGAACACTGTCACCTCCACCATGCAGGTTAGAACCAGATAATCAGATGTTTTTTGTGTATAATTATTCCTTAAGTATTGCAGCCATTTTATATTTGGTTATTTGGTTAGTTTAGTTTTTTATTATGCAAGTATATTTTAAAGTTATATATTTGATAAATTGAATAATTTGAAATTATTTTTGTAATTAATTTTCTTCCCCTATAAACCACCATTTTTTTTGTCTTTTGTAGTAGTATTTATAAAAATAAAAAATCATTATAATTATGTATGCTATTGTTCGGTGCCTGAAAGGTTTAATGGTTTTAAAAGAAGTCTCTTATACTCAACAAGACTGCATTTATTTGATCAAAAATACAGTAAAAATGATAATATTATATATTAAAATTGAATTTATTTCTGTGATGGCAAAGCTGAATTTTCAGCAGCCATTACTTCAGTCTTCAGTGTCACATGATCCTTCAGAAATCATTCTATTATGATGATTTGGTGTTCAAAAAACATTTCTTGCTATCAGTGTTGAAAGCAGGTAATATTTTTGTGGGGACTGAAACATTTTTTTTCTATTATTTGAATAGAAAGTTCAAAAGCACAGCATTTATTGGAAATAGAAATCTTTTATAAGATTATAAAATGTCTTTACTGTCACTTTCTATCAATTTAATGTGTCCTCGGTGAATAAAATTATTAATTTCTTTAAATAAATCATACTGACTGAAAACTTTTGAACTGTAGTGTAATTTAATGGGTAATAAAACAAATAATTAAAACTTTATGCTAATGATATCAAAATATAAATTGACACAAAATTGTATTTAAAATGAACCGTTTTTCACAATATTCACTTAATTTACTGAAAAATATAACTAAATCTGTAGTCCCTAATCTTGTCATCCTTTCTTAAGCCCACCCAGGTGACTCTCATAACTACACCCAGTGGTGTGGAGGCTCAGCCTGTCCAAGATCTGCCTGTTTCCATTCTGGCCTCTCCCACCTCTGAGCAGCCCACCTCTACTGAGTCTGGTGCAGGCGATGCTTCTGGCAATGTTACTTTAGTGTGCTCCAACCCACCCTGTGAGACTCATGAGACGGGCACCACCAACACGGCCACCACAGCAACAGCAAATATGGGCACTGGACCAGCTGGCACAGTACAGAGAGTGTGCTCCAACCCGCCCTGCGAAACACATGAAACGGGTACAACAAACACTGCCACCACAGCATCTGCCAACATGGGCGCTGTAAAGAGGGTCTGCTCAAACCCACCATGTGAGACCCATGAAACGGGCACCACCAACACAGCAACCACAGCATCTTCAAATATGGGCACTGCTCCTGCTGGCACTGTCCAGAGGGTCTGCTCCAACCCACCCTGTGAGACCCACGAGACAGGCACCACCAACACGGCAACCACAGCGTCATCTAACATGGGCGGAAATCAGACAGGAACGGTGCAGAGGGTCTGTTCGAACCCACCTTGTGAAACCCACGAGACGGGCACCACCAACACGGCAACCACAGCGTCATCTAACATGGGCGGAAATCAGACAGGAACGGTGCAGAGGGTCTGCTCAAACCCACCTTGTGAAACCCACGAGACTGGCACCACCAACACGGCAACCACAGCGTCATCTAACATGGACGGGAATCAGACAGGAACGGTGCAGAGGGTCTGCTCGAACCCACCTTGTGAGACTCATGAGACGGGCACCACCAACACGGCAACCACTGCAACCTGCAGTATGGAGACAGATGAGGGAACAGGTACTCAAGATTTCCAGAAGATATTATAAATCTGCACATTTATAATATTTACAAATTCATTGGGTCTCATTCGCTAATATTTGTGTGGATTATTTTTATTTATACGCACAAGAATGAAAAAAAAATCCACCTAATTCACAAGAAGTGCATACGCACATTAATTTGTTCTTAACCTTGTTCTAATATTAATGACTGTGTGCCTGAGGCTAGTCATTTGCATAAAATGTCAATCTCCAAACATATCCACATTAGGGCTTTCCCAAGATGAAATATCTATGTATACAGTTTTTTCTCAACATTATAATTATAAGGTCACTCTAGAGTGTGTGAATTGTGTACGTGTGGTTTCAGTTGTTCCTACTTTTTTTTTTTTTTTTTTTCCCCGCCCCAGAATAAATTGTAGTACAAAAGTTGATGAATCATGATTTGTGAAAACGTTTGTACACAGATTTCATGCACAAAATTATACATACACAGTTAGTGAATGAGACCCAATATTATACTTTTTTCTTTTTTTCTTTTTATGTCTTTTAAAAGTTGATGGTAACAATTTATTTTGCACATTTAGCCCAACAGAGTGGTGAAGCATCAGAATCTACCACTAGTACAGAAAGCCTGCAGTCCACTGCAGCTCCCCAGAGCAGAGCCATTACCATAGTCACACAGGCCACACCTCTACCAGGACCAGCTGTTCCGGTGAGTGGCCTGTATTTTGAGATATAAACTTTGTGTAGTGTGAGACTTTGTATCCATTGGGAACTGATGCATACCATTACGGATGCTGAATGCGAGTGGTGGACTTCATATTGAAGGTGGTGGTGGAGGGTTGAAAAGAAAGAGGGATTCAGAACATCAGCAGTTTTTCTTTCTCTGTCTTTCTCCTGCAGTCTATCTCTTCAATCACGGAGTCGTCCTCAGAGGCCGGAGCTGAGCCGGTTGTTATGGAGAGCTCGGAGGCGGAGTCTTTGCAGGCAGAAGGCCAGGCTGAAGCGGAGGCAGTCGCAATGCAGGCAGAGTTTCAGACAGAGGAGGGGGCAGTAGCTATGCCCAGTGACTTCCAGGCAGAGGCAGTGGCCTTGCCAAGTGACTTCCAGGGAGAAGCCGTAGCGGTAGCCATGCAGGCAGCGAGCCAGGCGGAGGAAGGGGCAGTGCCCAT